GTTAATATTCAAGAGGCACAGCTACAGCAACTACTGCTGGAAGCAGAAGGTCAGGAGCGTAGTGGCAAATGGGGACTTCTTACCATCTGTTGAAAATACCCGGTACCCCCTCCATTGCAGGTACCGATCTTAAGTGCATATATTCTGAAATAAGTAAATTTGTCACATGAAAGTATGATGTGAAGACCCGTGTAGCAAAAGAAGACAGATGTGCAGGAGCCCAGGAAGGAGTGCTGCTGCAAACAAAGATAAGATTCACAATCTCTGAAAAAAGAAAAATGGGTGCTGGGCATAGCACATCGCAGCCTCACGAAGGTGCTGTTAATCTCCCCATGACTGAAGTGAGAGCAGCTGAGCAGGCACTGTAGGGGCTTCTGTTTACCTTTGCAGCAGTCGTCGTAAGTATTTATTTTTATATATTCACTTCATAGGTCTGCCATTTTTCTCATTACCTCAAAGGCCGATATTTATTCCTCCCCACAGTTTGGGCTCTGTATATGTTCTGCAGGGTTTTGCATCCTACGTTAGCATTAAAATCCAACTTCTAATTTTTAATTTAAAAAACAAAAAAGAAGAAAAGAAAACTTTTGTTTCTGTGATGTGGAATCACTCAGTGCATGCCACTGCCAGGCAGCCTCAGAGAGATGTATGTGTGTCAGTAAAGCACTACTAACCTCTTTTTTTCTTGTTGGCTCATTTCTGGTTGTTATTTGTTATGCAATTAAAAAAAAAATCCTCTAGGAATGACTGATCTGTCAGACCTAGCTTTATTTATTAAGATCTATTCTAAACTTGTATTATTTTTATTTAGTTGGGAGGGGGAAGTAGAGGGAGAGGTACATTTTTCAGTAGCGCCATCAACACCCATGATTTTCAGCTTAACATTTCAGTTGTTAACTGTCTGTTGTTTGCTTTGCCTTTAGCATAATGAGTTTTACGTTTGCAATTTACTTACATTCTTGTATCATGTTTCATTTCTGTCTAAGAACACTTCTAGGCAGTTGCTGTGGCAGATTGCCCCAGCTTGGCTGCTGAAATTGCCCGTGAAGTCATTGCCAGGGATTCCTCACTGATCCATGAAGGACTTACAGAATTGCCTCCTTCTTAATTTTCAGATAACCATCCCTTGCCCAGAGATTATTTGTATCCCACGCAAAAGTTGGAGCTGGTGTTTTCCTACTGCTCCAAGCTAAAAGCAAGCGCATCATGTTAAGGGTATGGTTCAGCTGTGGCAAACCTCTGCTTTTGTACGTCTTTCACACGATGGGTACTGGAAAGGCAGCGCTTCTGGGGATGCGTTAGGCGTGCTGCTTTCTTAGTAAGTGAATTTTTTGTTTGCCTTTAGTTAAGGTACCCCTAGAGATTGGGGAGATAAATATCAAATAATAAAGGTGATAAAATATTAGTGTCTCTCTATAGGAGTACATAAGTTACTTTATCAATTTAAAGTATGCATTTCAGTATATTTATGAAAATAAAATTGCTGCAGTGATACAGTGTTTATTTTTTTATGTCACCTTTAACAGAATATTGCAGTTCAATGCAGAGTTTACCAAATATTGGACTTAGAATTAGGTTGTCATAGCTTCAGTATATCATGTGTTACAGGACAACGACAGTGGCAGGTGCAGAAGTCAAATAGTCTCCCAGGAGCATCCTTCCATTAAAAAACAATTGCTTGGGCAGAGGGAAGCTGCAAACAGCTGCACTTTGTCCCACTGTCTCTGCCGTTCAGAATTAAGCCTCCTTCCAAACCAGTATTGTGCAGATTTTTGCATACTTTTCATCGTGTGCTAATATAACTGCTTTGGAGCTGAAAAACTGCAAATAGTAACTTGAAAGCAATCCCAAAGAACGTGTGTTTGGCATGCGTTCTCCATTGAAGCATTAGTGCTGTAATCCATTAATGCAGCGTTCAGCACTGCAGCAAAGCGGTGCCAGCCAGCGGAGTCTAAGCACCAAATGTATGGGTGCAAGCAGAATATTTTGAATGAGCAGCAATAATTTGTTTTTGTTACGCTTACTCATTGGCCTCGGAAACACAAGATGAGCATTGCAAAGCACAAGTTTAGATAGCGCACCAAAAAATAAATCTTGGCTTGAAAGGATTAGCATCAATTAGAGAAGCACTTCCTTTAAATAACAAAACAGATTAATTCCCTTAAGGATTGTACTTATTGGAACACATTTTCAGTAGTAAAAAGAGCAACAAGTGTGCAAGTACTATTGATTTTCTACCTTTGTATTACCAAAACATATTTTATTGACAAGTATTACTTGCTTGTTAAGCGCTAAAGGGTTTGATGGGTCTAAACATTGGATCATCTAATTAATTGCCCTTTCAAACTTTTGTCCTAAGCTGTGGTGATTACATTAAAGAGATAGGTTGGGGGTTCTGTTGGAGTTCACTCACCTTTTACATGATAAACACGAAATGAATATATTAATGGTTTCTTAATATATAAGGCTAACTTTTTAAATGCAGTGTACCATTCTGAGTAGGTCTTCATCTTTCAATGTCCCAGTGATGGGTACAGGAGCACTACTTTCATTTTTGCAGCCTCATTTTACTCAATAAATATTACAAAGTCTTTTTTCGCACAGTTAAGCCCTGCCAATTTAAAGATGGCACAGAGCCTCTTAATGCAGAAAAGAGCTGCTATTGTGGATTTTCGAAGAAATACTTTGTGCGCTTCCGATAACAGCCCCGGCACTGGCCGGCGCTCTCCCCAGCGCTCGCTGGAGCCCATCCTCGGGCAGGGTCCCTGGGGAGCGGGTGGGAGAAGCCAGGCCTTGGCGCTGACCGGAGCGGGGGTACCAGCTACAAGAGGGGCTCTCGGGTTTTGTACCGCTGGGTTATAAGGTGGGAGGGTAGGTGAGCTACCTGGCTTTGTCCCTTTTAAGATCTTCAAAGCGTTAGAGAAGACATAGCACAAATGAGTCTGTCTCGTGGAAAGCATCTGCGTGTTTTGCAGCTGTTGAACAGTAACCTCAGGTAATGAGTAAATAAAATCTTAACGGTGACTCTGACCATGGAATAAGTGAGTAATTTTTCATGCGGTTTCCAACATACGTGTTTATGTTGTTGGATATTGTAAGAAACAGTGATTTAATGCTGGTGAGGCTGCAGCTGCAGGTGTGGCGTGTGAGCAGAAGGACGTGCGACTCGCTGAGCTGACACAAGCGACTGGCAGTGCAGCCGGGTGGAGTGCCGATCTCCTGCCTTGCCTGCAAGGACCCCGTCGCTGCCGTAACGCTGTGCAGAAGGGTGTGCTCTAAGGGAAGAACGGTAGTGGGATCTGTAACATTACGTGTTGTCAAAGATTGTCCGGAGCTAGGAGTCCATTACTTGGCCTTGGAAAACTTTTTGATGGCAAAAGATGCGCATCACGAATGTGTGGTGCACGTCTATGCATCTATGATGCGCTGCCATGAAAAGTATGTGTTTCACATAATAGTTGAAGTTCTAATCTGAGAAAATACTAGGTACCTTCCAGTTGTACTATTTCTGAAAAAAATCCCTTATGCTTCACCTACAATAGAAGGTGTACTTTTTTTTTTTTAACTTTTAATTACATTTATTATGGCAGTAGTTCAAAGGATTTTAATTGCATGCTTCTAGTTGAATCAAGATTGGGCATAAAGGATGCCCTCGCTCGGTGGGCAGGCACAGTGCTGTGAGGGGGCAGCTGTTGTCTGCTTTGTCAGGACGTTTCCACTCCCTGTGTTTGGGATATGTTCTGTGTAAGCATACCTAGACCCTTTACATTGCAATGCAAATATTTCTGCTGTTTGTTGGAGTAGAGAGGACTCTCTTAGTGCAACGGTTGTCAGTGCACACAGAGGTGCAGCTGTAAAGGATGAACAGGTCTGGCTGCGGGTGGATGTAATTCTGCAGTCCATCATCTGCCTCTTGGGGAGGTTTTCACAAAAAGGCAATTACGTTCCTGTACCATTGGAAAGGAGTTTGTGGTCTTCTCGTTACTGTTCCTGCGTAGAGTTACGCTATGGCTGTCCTGACGAAGGAGCAGTGGCATGAGTGCGGTAACTTTAACCACCGTGGGGGAAGCGGGTGCTTGGAGCAACGGGGTGTGCAGCCATGCCTGCTGCCCAGCTCTGCTCCCGGCCTCTCACTGGTGCCAGGGACCCCACTGAAAATGTTTAGCACTCTGAACGGGGTGACATTTCTGCAAAGACTGTTTATAAAGGGGGGGTGGGCAGGTTGTGCTTCTTACCATTCCTTGCCTGCTGCTTAGCCACCTGGAGGCTCCTAGACATCCAATTTACAACCTCCGTTGGGGAGCGTTAAGTATTACATTTTTTTTAGAAAATTCCCGTTAAAGACGCATTTATGTTCATATACCTGACAAATTACTTTGGTTTAAAAACCAGATTTGGCAGGGAATGTGTTCATATGATGATTTAATTCTGTTTTATTAGCTAAGCAGCTATGAGAACACTTAGAAGAAATTGTCATGGTATTTAATACTGAGCGGCATGTGCTTAAGTCCCACCTGATAAGAAAGACATTTCAGTGGTGTACTTCCATGGTTTGGGTTGTCTGGAGGCATTAAGTGCCCTGAGGAAAGGGCATTCTCTGTGCTGAGCACAAGTCCCTGCATGTGACAGCAGGAGTTACATTTCATGCCATTCCTTCAGTTGCACGGGAGCAGCACGTGCCGCCCTCCTGTCCTCCCCGACCGACGGGAACCAACCTCTGCAGAAGAGCTTTGCTTTGCTCCTCAGGGGTATTTGCCGATTAACACAATGACAGTCAGAAAATGAGTGCTAGAATAACAGAAAATGCAGGTGAATATGAAGAGGCATTTCCACATAGTATTTCATTTTTACTGCTGGTAATGGTCTCTCTCAGTTTTCCAAAAAAGTTTTGTAGAAGTTCACGTACATGTGCATTCGTGTTTACTTAAAAGTCTGTTCAGCAACGTCGTGATGATGGGTAGTGAATCTTCTATGTTCCTGTTCTCTCTCCCTCTTGCCAGACTATCCATGGCCATAAAGGACCGATAACTGCGGTGGCTTTTGCCCCTGATGGCCGGTACCTCGCCACGTACTCCAATTCCGACAGCCACCTCTCCTTCTGGCAGGTAAGGATGCGTTACCGTCCGTCTGTCTTGCACGCACATGGTTAGTAAACTCACGTTTGGGACTTTCTTTTAACGTTGTTCCATAATGGTGTAATACATAAGGAAACGCTGACAACAGGAGAGTCCCAGAAGTTAGGGCAGAAGCTGAAATCTCAGCACAGAGTTTTGTCACTCACCAGCCAGCCCCACGCTGCCCTCCCATCTTACCCCCCCATCTTACCCCGAAGCGAGCGTGCTCCTCTGCCTTCAGGCACCCGTGCGGGCAGGGCAGGGTCGGCTGCTGGCCTGAGCTCGGTCCCCCGGTCCCCTGCACCTCTCTGCTGCACAACTCTTCCTTCACCATCCCTGCAGGCTTGTGAAGACAGCTTTGAGTAGCGGTGTCCCTGTAACGCAGGGGATTTTTCCTGTCATTGTTTCTATTTAAGCACTTCTTGCATGTATCCATGGGTGAGGGATGGGGCTGTTTGCATACACATCCGTACGTCACTTCTGGGCAATCAAAGCACATTCTCAAATGATAAACTTTCATGTTTGATATTTTGAGTACGATACTGTTGTAATAGTTCAACTTCACATACCTAAGATATCCACTGGATAAAATGTAGAGCCATGTAGGAGACCCCTGGCTAGTTCTGCACGGGCCAGGGCAGCGGCTTCTCCCTGGTACCCGTCCCCTTCCTACCAGTAGGAAGTTTTCTTCTCCAATTCCTGCAACCCCATCAATTCCAACAGAGAGTAAGCTTCAGGAACATGCCTCCTATTTTTTTATTTTTTTTTTTTAAGCTTGATGCAAAACTCTCAGGGCAAACACTGGTTCCCAGTACCGCGGTGCCCGTGCCCCTGTGCCCAGCTCCGCTCCAAGCCCTTGTGTGGTGGTAGCATTGGGGACCCCTTTGCTGGGCTGTGCCACACAGTGTGGAGCTGTCTTCTGTTTCCCTAATGGTACTGAAAACAGGAAAGCTGAGATATAAACGATATAAAAAGGGTCTGGAACACAAGTAGAAACTGAGAGGCCACCATTTTGTGATGTATCTAGAGGTTTATTTCCTTTAACATACGAGCAATCCTTTTCTTTGTAATCTCACATTGGTATGAATATTTTGTGTTGGTTGTAGGCTGCTGCCTACATTCCCCAAGCAGGATTTTTTTTCCTCTTTCAAATGGCGTTAGACTTAAAAAATACTTTATTTGGCAGCAACTGATCTGATCGACCAATGTGTGCTATCAAAATCATGGAGTCTTACAGTAATCAGACTATAGAACAGAACTCAGTATGCCCATAAGTACCAGTTACATTCTTTAACATACTTCCCCAGTTTTCTGTCATTCAGTAGTTCTACAGGTGCCATTAAAAAATTCCTAAATTATTATCCATTGTTATATTGTGTGCTTTCTGAAACAGTAAATGAGAACAGCAAGAATCTTCATCCATCAGTTACGTTTATTCAATTTAAGTGCTTGGGGAAAATCTGGAAAGCAGTCGGGCTAGATCTTTCAGAATTGGCAGGGAAAAAAGAGTCAGGCATAAGTTTTAAGTTGTGATCTGCCACACTCATCCAGGTGTATAAACGTTCACATTAAAGTGGCTTTTACACAAAGAGTTAAATATACCTACACATTTAGTTTTAAAATGTGACCTCGTGCACTAGTGATTTTTCCCTTCTGTGTTCTATTTGGCACTATTATTAATGCAGGAAAATCAGTAACATTAGTCATCTTAAAAGGGTTATTACTCAAGATGATTTAAATTGTGAAAATGTCAGTGGTGCTTGCATGCTCCCTGCTAGAGATGCCATGATTTACACTCTCTGACACCGCTCTGCTGCCGAGAAGAGCCAGGAAAAAGTAATGGCTTGTACTTTGTACTGATCAGAATTCAGGACGTGGCATCAGCAATAACGCGCCTTAAATGTCCCAAGATTTGCCAAGGTTTCACGGGGCACGTCTCAGGGATGCAGCCGGCCGGCCGCCTGCTGATGGAAATTCTAGGGTTGCGATGCATGCGGATAGAAAGGTTTTTGAGAGTAAAGCAGCATTTCAGAAAGCATAAGATTTTGTGTATCTCAGTGAGTTAGATCAGAGAATCATTTTTAAAAATGTGGAGCTAGACGATGCATCAGCAATAATTGGCCTGCTTTCCAAAGAGTGTAACTCAACAGATCTCTTCTGAATGGCCTCTTCATCTACCAGACAATAAAAAAGCTCTTGTTGGTGGGTTTTGTCTGTTCGTACCTATCATGATGACTGCTCTTTAGTCTGCATATATTCTGCTTTAGTGTTTTTATGATTTTGATAAATAATATTCTAGCATAAATATAATCTTATTAATATTTCATGTTTTTTTCCTTAAATTCTGATTGTGTATGCTTATGCTTAGCATGTCTTTATAAAATCCCCCCAAGGAGCGCAGTAGGGTATGCCCACTGAGTTCATCAGGTCCTCCATTGTGCACAGTTGTGCGTCGTGGTCATTAACCACCATCCAGACCACCCAGCACACCGCCTAAACGCTCAGCTACCCTTCCAGTAAACGGCATTGCTTGGCCCCAGTCTAATGAAATTTTAATTAAGCCTGCTTTGAGACAGCACTGGTCCCGGGGGTCGCAGAGATGTCAATGTCTGGGAGGAGGTCCGGGTGCGCGTTGCGGGTGGTGACCCACCCCCAGAAGCTGCAGGCAGGGTGGGTCACCCCTGGGTGTCTTTCCAGATGAACACCTCTCTCCTGGGGAGCATCGGCATGCTGAACTCTGCGCCCCAGCTCCGCTGCATCAAAACCTACCAGGTGCCCCCCGTCCAGCCAGCCTCGCCGGGCTCTCACAACGCCCTCAGGCTGGCACGGCTCATCTGGACCTCCAACCGAAACGTCATCCTCATGGCTCACGACGGCAAGGAGCATCGCTTTATGGTCTAGGGTAAATCCCCCGCGCTAGAAATCCATTTCTTTTTCGAAGTTCCTCGTAATTCTCCCTGTCTCTGTGCTCCTCACACGGGTTGCCCACGCCAGTGCCTGCAGACCGCCGGTGGGCTCCTGCCCGGCTCTGCGGGGCGGCTGCGCTGACGCCGGCTGGTTTTTCCTTGCAGCCGGGAGAAGGAAGGCGACGGCGCTGGGGAACGTGCTCCTTGCGTGGCGCAGCAGAAGCAGGGGATCAGTAACACTGTGACGGCGCTCCTCGGCCAGATCTGCAGCGGCAGGAATCAAACCAGGCTTTGCAGCCGGGCTGAACCCAGCCCCTTCCTCGCTGGATATTGAGTTCACGCAGCAGCCCTCATTAAACACGTTTTTCCTTCGGAGACGCTTGCAGAATCTCAGTGTTTACCAAAAAAGGCTCATTGTTTACATGTACTTTCTCCTAGTGACCACTGAATGATGGTGGCTGATGCATCTCAGAGCTAGGCACTTGGCTTTCTTAATGAGGGGCTCGTTGCCTCGAGATGGGGAGGGGGTTGAGTTTCGGGGGGTGGATGGCCTGTGTTCTGATCTGAAGGGGATGTTTCCTCATGCAAAGTCTCGGTTTTCAAGAGAATCGGAAGTGCTGCTGTGCTCAGTCACTGTTTGCTGTAGTCTGGAAGAAAGAATAATAGTCCACATGTAAATAAATTAAAAAAAAATCTCTTTAAGATGGAATAGCAAACTTGAAAAAAGGAGTATTTATATATAAAGGTGGTTTTTGCTACCAATGCAGGTATTTATTTAAAAAAAAAAGACAAAAAGCTTTTTCTTCCTAAAGCCGCTCCCATTTGTGCCGAGATGTGCAGGACAGTGAGACTGCACCCACGCCATGCCACCCTGCGCTTGTGTCACAGCCACGGCTCCCACGGTGGCTTCACCGGGGGACCAGAGGGCAAGGACACAGGTCCTGGAGGGAGGCGGCACAAATGGCAACGGTGGGGAGCAATTCTCGCTGGAAAAATGATGAAAAGTATGTAGAAGGTAAGTTATTTGAATGGATATATTGAAACGTTTTCTTCAGTAGGAATATTCCTGTGTAACATTACCTGTGACTGTGTTTCCCTCTTCTTACATATCTAATTTTGTGAAATATTTAATAGTGTGAAAGTATGCTGGTTTATGCTCACAGTAAAGAAAAAAAATCTATAAAATACTATTTTATTTAAACATATTGATGTATATGTTTGTATAGCTTTTTCTTTGCCATTTTTGTCTGAAAAGCTCACAGAACTAAGAAGACTGTCTTTACGTAATAAAGTAAAAATGGTACTTATAGAATCTTCCCTTCCCCAAAAAGGAATAAATGAATTTAAAAATGGCTTCTAAATATAAAAAGCATTGATTTTTTTTTTAGGTGGTCTGTGTAGTACACTGTACATGAAAGTGAGATTTACAGTCCAGCAGTTACATATCTGTTTGCTGTTTAAAAATAATTTTAAAAAAATTTAAAAAGCAAGAAATTAAGACCATTAGGAATGTTTAACACAAACTGCCGTAAAGTTTAATCTTTTCTCTGGCGGGAATGTAGTCTATAGTGGAGAACTCTGTAGTAGAATATCAGGGTCTTTTCTAAGTGAACTAATGCAACATGCATGTACATTGTGTTTATACAGATATATGTGTAACCTTGGAGATCAAAAAAAAAAAAAAAGAGGAGAGCTAACAGAGTCTTTTCATCCGTAGAATGAAATGCTGTAATTTTCAGTGTAGGCTTATGAGGAGAGTGCTAAGGTAGCCTGTAAACGTTCTCCCACCGGTATCCCAGGATCCTATCCGTTGGGTTACGGTAGATATCACGTTATGTATACGTGTTTATTTTCAAAACAAAATGCGGCCCCAGTAGGAATGGGGACCGTGCCCCTGCAGTGATTTCCTTTGTGGTATAGTGAACAAACATCTTGAATTATATATGCATTAAAATGTTTGTTTTACGCTAGAAGCGTAATGGATTTTCTCAAATGCGGAAGAGAGCTGGTAATTTTCCTCGCCGTCCTGCCTGAAAATCAGTTCATGTAGCAAGAGCCGAAGCGTTAGTGGAGAGAGAGTTGCTTGCGGAGGAGTCGCTAACCCCCCAAATGTCCCTGACTGGAGCTGGGGCCAGTCCGCCCCACGTCCCCGGCCGCCGGGCTGGGCACGGGGCCGGCGTGGTCCCCGCTGGGCTGGAGGTCCCTCCCCAGCTCACTGCTGTGTGCGCACCAGTTAAACCCAGCCCGCCGCTTCGGTGACTCTGTTAAGCCCAGTCCTGAACTTCTGCCCAGCCTCACGCTCTCAGCACTGCAGTGAAATGTGTATTGTCATTCCGGTGTAAGCTTTTAGTGCTTTATTGATTTGTTAGTACTGTATTTGGACTTGTCCTTGTAAATGTAGAGACGTATGTGGCTTCACTGGCAGTTTACAAGCAAAAGATGACATGATGAGACACCTGTATGAAAATGTTGTGATGATTGAAGTCACCGTGTATGGTGAATGGTTCAAGTGTCTGCCTCTCCAGCAACTTCTTGACGAATCCACTCCCCGTCCTCTGTATGTATTAAACTTCCTGGTGTAAATATGCTTGTGAAATAAAACTGAATTGTATTGAAGAGCGTTGGTTTCGTGGCATCAGCCTGATGGTGTGTAAATAATTGCCTGCTGCTGATTTATGGGCCAGTACTCTGAAGTCTTTTCACTGTTTAAGAAACTTCTTCCTTTTCATTTGAAAATCAGCACGAATGAGAGCAGAATGAGTCACCTTAAGAGCGGGCAGGGGGGTGTGGTGAAGAGGCTTCAGCCTTTGTTACAAAGTTCTCTTAACTCCCAAAGCAGTGTATCCAGGCAAACAAGGGAATACTCATCTTCCAGAAATTCACCAACACTGACGTGTGCCAGGTGATGCTCTTCCCTCGTCCTCTGGTTCGCGTTTCCCCAAAGAAAGTAACTGAAACAAATTAAACACTGAGATTTTTCTGAGGTGGCGTGCAGGACTACCAAGTGCATTTAACATAGCATTGTGTTTGGGTTGGGATCTGCGTTACCCATTATTTTTAAAAAATGGCAGCTGTGTTTGCTTGCAGAGGAAGGCCCAGTGCCGTGCGGCTTGCCGAGAGGCGTGGGGTGAGCCAGGGACGGCCGGAGCCGGGTCAGACATGACCTCAGCAGCCTTCAAAACGAAAAACCCACAGAGGAATCGTGTGAGTCCTCAGTTTTGGGGTGCGGGAACGTGTTAAAACACCAGTGGCTCCGGTATTTCCTTGCAGGTAAGGCTCGCTGGTGGCGGCTCGGTGGGCGATCCGGGGCCGGCTGCGAGGGACGGGGCACGGTGGTGCAGGAGGCACAGCCAGGCAGCGCCGGGCGAACTCTCACCTCTCCCCTCCTCGGCTGACAGGCAGAGCTGAGCCTTGAAAAATCAATACTTGGGAGCCAGGAGGGAAATATTTCCAACCTCTAACTAGAGAATGTATTTTGACAAGGCCAAGATAATCCAGGCTGCACAGGAGAAAGAGAAAAGAAGACTCATTTTTAAAGCTTGACACTTCAAGGTGTTTTTGTGCAATGGTTTAGAGAGAGCATCGATACGTACAAATACCAAAGGTCAAAAAGAAAAGCCAGAAGAATTTCAAAAATTAGATGCGCTGGTTTTGCTGTTTACTTCGCAAAATATGAACTGTTTGATTTGTGTAGAGAGACGGTCAAATGTAGTGAGCACAGTGCTCACTGCTGTCTCCTCGTTTAATAGAAATGAAAATATACTAAAGCCTAGATTATACCTTAAGCAATTTACCTATAAAAAGTACATGCCTATTTCCTGCTATATATCTGCATTCAGGACATTAATTGTTTTTGATTTGGCATGATTGCATTTTGATGCAAAAAGATCAATATTTTTTTCATTTATGCAGCATCGTTTTTTGGTAATTAAATATCTGGCCGTGTACTTGGGTACTACTCAAAATGATCAAAAGCGCTGCAGCCCTTCTGCCGCTCCTTGACCAAGGTTTTGTTGGCACCTGCGGTTTTTGCCGGGTGAGTTAGGTCTGACGGAGCTGCGTCCGTGCCCGTGCCGCAAAGCGAGCGAGTGGGGCGGTCGGTGCCGACCCCTTCCCGGCTGCAACTCTGGGCAGGATCTGGGCCGGGGCCGCGATGGAGGACGTCATCCTCCGTGGCTTAACGCCGCGCTGGCTGGGAGCGTCCATCCCTGTCCTGGCGCTGGACGTACAACCGCACCTTTGGCCGAGAGCTGTAAAATCGTGTCGAGGTGAATTTCACACGAGGAACGCAATGCGGAGTGGCGTGAACGATTAGGACGTTGCGCTGGACTCGTCTAATACCGGCCCAAGTAATGAAACTGCCCTGAAGCGTCGCGTAAAGCCAAGCGGCATCTTGCGCAACCTTGGGGGGAGGAGGAGGGAGGACGCGATGCCCGCACCGCGGCTGGAAACGTGAGGGACCACCCGGGATGTTCGCGGCAGCGGTGAGGAGCTGGCGGCCAAAGGTGAGGAGGGGCAGGGGCAGAATCGGCCACGTTACGCGTCGGAGACGGAGGAGGTGCAGCACCGCGGCCCGAAGGGGACGTCGTTAGCGATGGAGCGGCCGGACCGGCCTTCAGACGGTGCCGGGGAGCGGCTGGGCGGCACGCGGGGGACGGACTGACGGACGGCTGCTGGGACAGAGGAGGGGAGGCAGAGGAAGGGGCGGATGAGATCAAATGGGAAGGTGCTCCTTTCTCCGGCTTGAAAGAGCATGCATTAAGGCTGAGGGAAACGAGCCAACCTGAGAGAAGGTGATTGAGATACGGAGCGATGGACTTGTGCATTATTAATTGCATATGCGTGATTGTCTCCGAACTGTCACACAATATTCTGCCTGAACTGACGCAATGGAGATTGTCTAATTAGCGTCTAATCCACTAATTAGCGTTATTTGGAGTAAGATACTGGAAATGAGAAGTCACTTGAGATTTACAGAAAAAAAAACCTCCAGAAAAATTATACCAGGCACATCAAATCCACTGCCTTCAGTTGCATAAAACATGAGGGAGGGCTCCCCCGCTTTCCCTCGTCACGGCTCCTCACCCAGGGGCTCTGCCGGTGCCGCGGCCGTGCCTCCCGTCCGGAGGAGCCCATCCTGCCGGCAGCGCTGCCGACCGCGGCAGGAGCCAGGCTGCGTTCAAGGCTTGCGTGTGCGTTTGGTTGATGTCCTCCTCAAAATACGTCAATCATGCCTAAAACCAAAGCTATTTGAAAATGCAGACCACTGAGGTCAGTGTAAACTCCATCAAATGTATTGATCAGAGGTTTTTTCCAAAGAGCATAATGTTACGGTCGTACGTGGCGTGTGTCTTGCCGACGATCAGCATTCCTTGCAGCTGACTCAGAAATCCATCCACACGCATCTCGCTCCCTCTGGCCTGATGTGAAGGGATGGGTACGACCTCTCCTGCTGTCTGCTGGAGTTCCCCACGCGTTCGGGCAATGCTGTGCCCCGCAGGGCATGGTCAGAACTTGGATCTCGGTGTGCTTGGTATTCTGCAGGTTTCTGGGACAGGCTTGCCTTGGGATCCCCTGGTCGCCAGACAGGCATCAGCTTAGAGCAGCCCGATCCCCGTGTCCTGAGAGCAAGGCTTCCCATCCCACGGAGAGGGACGCGGCCACGAAACGCACCAGCACTGAGGACGTTCCTGCTGCACGCTCCTCTCGTGCTGGATGTGTCCCTTCAGATGCAGGCAGGGTAAGGACAGTGCTCAGAAGAATAAACATTTGGGAGTCAGTTAGTTC